CCTGCATAAACGGCGATGTAGGTGTCCTCGTCAACACTGGAGAACTGATCTGCGGTCCACCATGATAGCCACAAACTTGTCATGATGTTGCATCCTTGAGCTAGAACAAGGAAGCCGATGACAAGGGGTGCGACAAGGATGGAGCCGCTGGCCCGGATGTAGGCGCCGTAGACGCTCCAGCTGACGGCGTCCAACGCGCGTTCTTCGGCTTGCATCAACGCCGCTGTACTCTTGTGCGTTTCGATCTTGACCAGCTTTTCCTCTTCATTGACGTGTTCCTCGGCCGAAACGGTGTTGGGGTCTTGTTGTGAGCCGTGGAGCTCGGAGGCTTGCTCATCAACATGAGTGAGCGCCATCAGTTTCTCAAATTCCTCGTTTCCGGACATGAGCTCTTCGTAGCTACCCTCAGCCTTGATGTGACCCTCGTCCAGCCATATGATCCTGTCAGAACGGTTCAGGACGTGAAGCTGGTGTGTTGCTAGGATGCGACACTTGTTTGATAGCAAGCCACAGATAGCCTTGTCCATGATCTGTTTTCCCACGTGGATATCCACTGCAGAGAGAGGGTCATCCATCAACACAATATCGGCGTTGAAGTAGATGGCACGGGCAATGTTGATGCGTTGTTTCTGTCCGCCGGAGACAGTGATGCCGCGCTCGCCAATTTCAGTGCGGTCGCCGTCGGGAAGCATTTCGAAGTCGGTCCGAAGAGCGCAGGCCTCCGTCACCTTGTCGTACCATTCGCGGTCGAATTCGCGTCCAAAGATGATGTTATCCCGAACACTAGCGTTCTGGATCCAGGCGTACTGCGGGCAGAAAGCACGCGTGGCACCCAGTGTCAAGCAACCGCCCGTTTGGCGCATCTCACCAGCCAGAGCAGCCAATAGCGACGTCTTCCCTGACCCAACGCTCCCAATCACAGCCACCAGCTCTGATCTGCCGATAGCCAGGTTGAGGTTGGGAATGTGGAATGGCTCCAACATGGTGATTGTGCTGGGGGTTCTGACACCGGGGCCGTCCTCCCTATCGCTGAGGCCTTCGCGTGCCTGACCCAATGTCTGCTCCCAAGTGAATGTCGCGTCTTCAACCGTGATGGCGTTCTGACCATTGTAATCGTATTGGACGTCGTCCGTCGACTCCTCGGCAAGTAGGAATTCCTCGATGCGCTTGACAGACGCTAGAGCATCGACCGCTTGCCCAATGACCATAGGGAGCATGTTCAAAGGCATCCGCAGGTTGTTAAACAAAGCCAGTGAACTGAAGATAGGCGCAGGGTTCAAGGAGTGACTCGTGAGCGAGTACGTGATGAAGGAAAGCATTGAGGCAAAGACGGGCATGCTCATGGAAACAGCCTGAATACCGTCGCGGATGGACATCAGAATTTGAATAGACCTAATCTCCTTCTTGCGAATCTCGTCGATGCGACCCAAGAAACTCGTTTCCCAGCCGAAAAGCTTGACGAAGCGCATGGCCTGCATGACCTCCTGCGTGAGGCTAACACGAGCGTCCGTGATCTGGTTGATGGCGAAGCGACGCTTGAAAAGAGCCTTGAAGGCCAGCCCCAGAGCGGGGGAACAGATGAACAATAGACCGAGACCTGGCAAGGCGCTGTAGGTCAAGTTGATGAGAAGCAGGACCATTGTGATGACGATGTTAAGTGGCGAGCCCCAGAGAAGGTGGAAGAAGCCACTAGCCGTATCGATGCGGTAGGTGTCTGTTGACATGAGGTTGACAATGCGACCATTACTCCACCCGCTCTCTCCTTCAGACTTGGTCTCGGGTTTCTTCGACTTGTCTTGATTCTTCTTCGTTCTGAGTAGCTTCTTGTACCACTTCTTCTCCTCGTCGCTGCCAGGAGCTATTTCGCTAGGTGGGAGTGCGACATCGGATGAACCGCCAGCCTTGGCGCGCCCCGAGATCTTCATGGCCTTGTCGAAGATGACAGACATCAAGACGGCTCTTGCCTCGCCGCCTACCGTCATGCCAAAATACAGGAAGTGATTGATGCTTAGCGTCATGACGATCTGCAAAAAAGTGATGATGATGACGAGACCGACACCGTATCCGATGTTCGGTGCTGCCGAGCCATTTTTGGCTGCATTGTAGGCCTCAGTTGCGAACGCAATCAGGTACTTCAATAAGAAGGGCGAGATGGTCGATGCCACGGTGCTGCCAAGCTGGCACAGCGCGCCGACGACAAACTCCTTCTTGAAGGTGCTGAGAAGGGCGCGCAAGAGAGGGCGTGAGCTGCCATTTGCCGTGTGCCTCTGGAATGCGTGGCGGAACTTGACTTCGAGAACCTCGGCGCTGCGCTCGGGGTTAACCTCCCAGATGTCGTTTTGTTCCAACGGCCGCTGATAGCCAACCTAACCTTTTGTCAGAATGATTGAATATGCCAGTTCAAAATTGTCTCAACCTACATGCATGAGAGGAGTGACCCAAGTGAACAACAGTCTGCTGAAGAATCCAGCTCCTGCCTCCAAAGATGGCTGACGCTTGTCAGGAACTAGGGGCACATATTTCGTCTTGAGTGGGTTGAGACGCTGTGACCAGTTGCGTTGCTTTCTTCCCGATGTCGAAGCAGACTCGGAGGATGGTTCTGTTGATAATGCGTCGATGGGTTGCGCTTCGACCTGGCCGGCAGGTTGCTGCTCGGAGCTGTAGATAACGCCGGCGTTCTTCTCGCCTTTGCTGGGCTTGCCGAAGAGCATGGTGAGGTTGATCCACCGATCGGTGTGTGCGCGCCAAGAAATGGGATTAGGTATTATTGATAGGCCAGCCTATTCCTCGCCTGGTCAACAGCAACAACCTCGAGCAACAGAATCAGAGAAACAACAAGCAACATGGAGCGAGACGACTTGGCGAAATGAACCCAGAGATAAACTCACTGTTTCTCGGCGCCCCAGCCTGTCAAGGCGATCGCAACTGCTCCACACTTGGCGCCGGCCATTGCGACAGGGTTACATGACGATCATTCGATGCGAAGCACTAACCCTTGAAAAGTTGCATTCCGGCGGTCGCGCTTACGCGTTGCGACCCGTCCATTTGGAGCCGGGATGACGCCGTGGGGCCGATCGATAGCGGCATCGGACCCTGCTCGGGGTCGCCGTTTCAATACGGTTTGGCAGTCAACCATCCTCGCTTGCTCCTCCTTCAGGCGATTGCCTTATCCTTAGCAGCAGAGAGAAGAAAACGAGCGACAAAACGGATCCAAAGGTATCGGTCTTCAACAACTTGCAACCTCATCGTGTTGCCAAGTCCACGCTTGAAGTCCGGTATGTCGGTCCAGTTCGCCAGGTTGTCAAAGCGAACCAGCACAACTACTTCGTCGTCGAAAAGAACCACATGGCGAAGTCGATAGACTATTGCGTAAGACGCGACCTGTTGCAGGAGGTGTCGTGAACGTTTGGTCCATCTCTGGCCTCTCGCACCATCTTTGAGCTTCTGCTCCATCTCGAGCTTGCATCGAGCCACGATCTTTGGTCCTTTGGCTTCAATAATGGCGACGCCATTCACAGTAGCGTGTATTGTGAATGGCTCATTCTTGGTACAGTTGAAGAGATGGTCCGGAATGAATGTTTCGACGCCTTTACCCCTTGCGCGAGTCGCGACTTTCATCTGGGATTGTTCGTCCCAGGAGAGGTAACCGGACTCTCCCCAAATCGCTTCAATATCAGCGGCGTTAACCTCAAGTATCCTGTGGATCGCCGGAAGATAGTGAGACTTAAACGTTGTGTCGGTCATAGCCTCTCCGCGATGTCCCCTGAGCGATGTGCTTGCAGTCATGTACTCTATTGCGGACTGGGATAGCTCGTTGTTCTTCACGAGAGTCTTGAATTTGCTCAAAAATCCCTTGGGAAATCTCTTGGGGGTTTCCGGGATTCTAACCCCTTTCTGGATGAACTCTGATATAGATGACACCGGTGCGTTTTTCAACGTGACATGTATCTTGAGCTTGGGGAGGAATCGCCTCAACTTTGCCTTTTTTGGCTTCCCAACAAGCAGATCGCTCCAAGTCACTGCCATTTTAGTTGTCTGCCATGGGGTCAGCTAAATGTCTGGATTCAAAAGTAGATCGCATACTTACAGAGTTGGAACCTTAGCCACGAGATCATCACATAGGCTGCAGTGTGCGTGAGGGCGCAGAGAAAATGGCTCTCCCAAGTAGGTATTGAGTGAGAGAAGGGAAGGATGGAACAGGAAGGAGGGAACGGGAAGGAGGGAATGGGAAGGAGGAAACGGGAACGAGAAGGAGCACAGGGGCACTGGACCTTCCACCTCGTGAAGAAAGACATTTCTTAGACACCTAAATCCTGTTTGTTCCTCATTTTCTGGGCTGCTAGCTTGGGTGATTGGTGAATCGAAGGTGTTGAATTTTCTTTTCTGAGACTAAGGTAGTCTTGCCAGCTTGTTGCATTACCCTCAGCCTCCAATGCATTAAAGTGCATCGAAACTCACTGACGGCAGGATTTTATCAAGGGTCCACGGAAACAGCTATAGAATTCAAGTTGCTGCCGAGGTTGCTCTGAGACAAAGCCTCTGTAGGATGGTAACAGTTATCTCAAGCTATTAAATCTACCAACGTTTTTGAAGTTGATGAAAATACGTACTACTTACTGGTGCTAAGCCTTCCATTCTTGCAAGCAAAACTTCATTTGCCTGGTACCCTTTCGGCTGAGTCAATCGAACCTTGAGCACTCCGCCCCGCTTCGGTCTGGCACAATTTTCTCACTCTCCCTTTATACATGTCCTTGTCCTCTTTCTTCGCCAACCTTTCCGCAGAAAACTTCCAACTTGCTCCTTCTCCTCCTGTGTCCAGCAGGTTCGGTTGTCAACTCCTTCCTTCGAACCCATCACCACAACACAAAAACACGCCGATCATTGCCATCAATATTTGATCCTCTTCTATCAATCATTATCACGAGACTACCCCTCCCTTAACAACCCGTCGACCATCTCTCTGCGTCACAGCGAGACGATCGCATCGGCGTCTCGAGGATATGGAAGACGCAAAGGCGCTCGCCGCCCTCGCAAAGTATGCTAAGGGTCAGCAGATGGTGCTTCGACCGTTCATGAACCCCGGGCCCCCCCACACTACCGGCATGTTCCCTGACCCGCAAGGAACCGATTCAAGCGGCCGTGCCTTCGACAATTTTATTGGTGAACACCCGACCAATTTCGACAGAAACACGTTCATTCATTTCGAGGATAAGGAACTGGCTGTGCTTGAAGTTGTCGGCACCATTTCCGGCGGATTAGACCATTCTCGACAAATTCTCCGTTGCAAGGCCATCAGGACGCCGGTTTCCCATGAGGGGCGAACGCCCATGCCGATCTTCGATGATAAGCAACAGTACATCGTAGCTGTGGCCGAAGATGCAGCCTTGTACGATGACCCATTCTGGGCTGACAACCATCTATGCCGCAAGGTCGCCGTGCTCCAAGAACTGCACAAGCGCACCAAAACCGGTCTTGGAACCGTCAATCCAGACTACTATGGTACGTGGATCTTGGAGACTGATGACCACACGGCAGAAGCAGGCAAGAGGTACATCGGCATCATCCTCATGGAACATCTCGAGGGCCGTACCATCGAGGAGTTATGCACCCGCGAACCAGCACCTGACGGAGAACGCGGCAATCTAATCGCTCCTTCCAATCCAATCTCGATCACTGGAGCTGACGGCGCTGAGCACCTACTCGACGTCACCAGCACCGAAGTCCGCCATCATATCGTAAAGCAAATTATGCACGGTGTTGTCGACATGGAACATGTGGGCATACAACGTTCCGCTCTGAATGCTGATGACGTTATGGTTGTTTTCCGCCGCGGAGGAGAGATCTTGGACAAGCCTCAAGCTGTGCTGCTTGAGTTTTTGGTCTGCGAGGTGTGGTCCACGCTTTGGGACGGCGAAAAGCTCTTCGATAACTCGGATGATCTCTACCAACAGCTCCCTCGGCCCCTTCATCCCTTTGACGAGTTCACTCACAATGACTTCGAGGACCTGGACGGCTGGTACGATACGAATTGGCGAGCCGAGAACAGAGTCAGACTTGATGCGTGGATGTTGAAACAGTTTGGACTTTTGACCGAGTCTCGCCGCTACTCTCCTTGGAATGGAATCGAAGCCCGCACGAAGGACAAGCTTCGGCGTCTGTTCAGGGCATTGGACCTCATCGCGAATCAACAAACCCGAGACTTTGCTATGCATGCTCTCCCTCCTATTCCTCAACCAGTCAACCGTGGTTCCTTGTCCTTGAGACAGCAACCTAGAGTCAACTACGCCATGAGTCAGGGACAACCTATCATCGACAACTCACCGGCCATAGAACCTACGCGCTCAGCCAGAATCGAGGCTGAAGAAGAGGACACAAGATATTTGAGATTCTTTGTCCAGGAAAGGTTCGAAGACAACGCCAAAAGGTTACTTGCCAAGATGCTTCAAAGCCACCCGAGACTGGCCGATGCGACCCCGGAGTATGCCGACAGCGCCGCCGATGAGTCCCTAACGGATGAAGAATAGCATTCTGAGCCGAGCGAGATTCGTGAGATGGAAGAAGATGACGAGAAGGTCGATGAAGATGAGGAAAGGAAAGAGAGTGGAGATGAGCAGGAAGAGGAGAAAGTAGATGAGGAGAAGAAGGAGAGTGGAGATGAGGAGAAGGAGGAGAGTGAAGGTCAGGAGAGGGCGGCGACGGGAACGACGCTTGGAGTTCTGGAAAGGATGCGGGAACGTTTGAGAGAATTGAAAGCGACATGGGCAGAGGAAGAGGGATGGTCAAAGAAGAGAACGGAAAAGGAAATACAGGAACTAACAGATGTACTGGCACGTTTAGAACGGGACGAACGGGCACGCTCACGGGCACAACGGAGGGAAGAGGCAGAAGCAGAGGCAAGGCAAGCTTGATCGTCTGACGAGATCTCGTCTTGCCTTATGAGAAGACTAGAAGTGGACAAGTCGCACAACGGAGATGTCGAGGACGCAGGCGAGAGGCTATTGCGATGATTCACAGGAGCAGAGCCAGTGTATGTGGGCGGATCTTCGGACCATGCCAGGGTTTTGAAACGGGAGTTGGTTTGTCTCATGTCTTGTTAGTTTACTCAGATTGCATTCAATATTGGCATTGTATCTTCACGCAGTTTCTTACATTCTTTGAATAATGCACAAGTTGAAAGCATGCACTCCGGACTAACTGGGGGCCAACACACTTATGCACAATCATGCCCCCCAACCCCCGAACCGCAGCTTTCCCGTTCAGATTTCTGCGCCAGATGTCTGATGTGATACACTCCCAAGGCTATGAGAATGCTTGAGCTGAAATTGGGCTGAAATTGTGCTTCATGCAGCGTACCTTCCAGCGCCTACAAATTGTGTAGGGCTACTAGTACCCGAAGCGAACGTTATTGCCGAAGGGCAGCCAAGATCGGCTTGATACCGGAGATGTTATTCTTCATAGAGAAAGAAATGAGTGGTGTGTATGAGCTAGCTTGACGCATTTGGTGGATCATGTATTGTAGCATGTGGTATTTGCCACTCAACTCTGGGCCATGTGCCCGTTGATAGATTGGAATCACAGACATCCGCCTGAACCCTTGAACACAAATGCGTGAGAGGGCCCATCGGCCCCTAAAGTCCCCGCAGTACTTGGTCTCCGTCTACCCCGGGGGATGAAACACCAATAGCGTGACGGGTTCCTAGATTGTATGGATGGGTCGCGGAGACTCTGGTATGAAAGGTAGAATATTATAAATAGTTGCAAGCTTCATTGCTGTAAGCCCAGGGCCACATCTGGTGGAACGCATTATCCAACGCAGTTTTTTTCCATGCTGCCACCTTGCTCAAACTCCTTTGACCAGCCTTGAACTCGTCTTTCAATGTATTAGCCAGCATGTCTATTGCAAAGGAAGGCACCTATGTCGAACACGACGATCACCCTACTGTCGTCAAACGCAAAAAATATGAAGCAGAGGCGGAATCTTTGCAAGATAGTAACCGGTTCCGCACGTCCAAGAGTCTCGTTCGGAAGCTAGACGTGACTCTGGTGCCTATCATATGGGTGATGTATCTCTTCAGTTATCTGAACCACACGGCAATTGCGTAAGAAAAGAACTCAATTCTGCAAGAGTTCGCTCAATAACTAGGTCGAAATTCTCAGACAGGCTAGACTCAATATGATCATGGAAGATCTGGATCTGATCGGGGGAGATTCAGCTCGTGCCCAGGTATATGATCATGCAAATCTCGAGTAACAGGCTTCTCACAAGTGCCCACCCGTCTCTCTACCTTCCATTTTGGGGTCTGCTGTTTCTGCACGCTTTCACCAACCCTTACCTGTGCGATGCGTCTACGTAATATCGGAGTCCCCCTTCTTCTCTGGCGTTTACTAATGACCTTCTATCTTGCTAGTACACCAAGTGGGAGCTGGGCCTACAAATGGCCATCCTGGACTCTGGCCTCGTCATTGTTACTGCGTTCTCTGGACTGATTGCTACCGGCGTATTTTCTGGACGTGGCCAAGTCCGAGGTCGTGCTGGATGCAGGGTAAGAGATGCCATGTAGAGCTATTCGTTGTTCCTGTTCTTACTGGCATCAAAATATTCAAGTGGCTATATATCCTAGCACATTCGACTTCCCCCACTAGATAACTCGGTATTGAATGTTCTCTGTTTCTTTACGCTCAACATTCCACAACTCTTTCCCCCTCAAAATCACTTACATGTCATCACCTCATAGGTACTGTCAGATTGAGCGCTCGCGGGGAAAAGCGGGCTTCTCGATGGGCTGAATGGGTCGTCTTGCTGATATCCTTTGTTATGAGGAGTCGGAACAAGGAGATGCTGGGCATTCCCAGATCTTTTGCGGGGTCGGCTTTCCACGACAGTCCATCCAAATTGGTCGCGCTGATCCGACGCGCGATCTCAACTGAATGAACTCGTTTGACCCGCCGGCCAGTGAGCTGAAAACTGAAGGGCATCGCACCGCGCCATACGACACATCAAGACCGCTCGCTTGAACTCCTTCCCTTGCACTCTCTAGTAGATAGCAATTTTTATTTCTCGACGAAATTCCGACATAAAACTATTGACCGAAATCACATTATCATGACGCAATACACACTGCATACCTCGTCTTTGTTTGACCCTCTAGTCAAGCGAGTTCGCAAAACTGTTTCCATTACCATTGATTCGTCAACTGGCCTCATTGTCCGCGTCTTTGTGCGAAACGACGAGGAGCGGCCATTCACACACATTCTGCAAGAGCAAGACATCGATCTACGAGGGAATTATGTGATGCCAGGCCTCGTGGATGCACACACACACGTGTTTTTGCATTCGTATGAGTGAGTCGACCATCTGTATTCGGACTATTCTCGAGTGTACTGATATCTGTTAGTGTAGCGGGTGCTCTTCAACAAAAGAGAGACGAGAGCATGACAGAAAGAGTTGTCCGCGGAGTCAACCACTGTCGAACGGCTTTGCTTGCAGGATATACAACCTACAGGTACGCAACTTCTTCCAGCCGGTTGCCGCCAATGATGCCCGGACATACTTATTGACTTCCTCCTTTCCTACAACAGGGACCTTGGATCGGAGGGAATGCAAGAATGCGATGTAAACCTCCGAGACGCCATCGCTCGTGGGCTTGCCCAGGGGCCACGCTTGTTCGTGGCAACCAAGGTGATTGCCAGCACCGGGTCTTTCGAGCCACGTACTGAGAATAGCGCCGGCGGCCACTGCCTACCAGCCGGAGCGGATGCCGTTGATGGGGTCGATCAATGCCGGCAGGCAGTGCGGCGACGAATTGCAGCAGGAGCAGATGTTATTAAATTCTTTGCTGATTACCGTCGGAGAATCATGAGATCGCCCCCTGCGCAGCAACACCCCTACATTCCGAGTGTTTTGCATCCCCCCAAAGACCCTAACCCGGACTACTTGGTGTTCTCCAAAGAAGAGATGGACATGATCGTCAAAGAATCGGAGCTAGCGGGCGCCCCAGTGTCAGCGCACTGCTGCACATTGAAGGGCGCGATGGCAGCCATCGAGGCCGGGGTCAACACCATTGAGCATGTTTACTTTGGCACCGATGACATGTTTATGCGTATGATTGACAAGGGAGTCATAATGGTGCCTACTCTTGCGATTGCAGAAAAGCTGTACGCCCAATGGTTTGACCAGATACTAAAGCAAGTCAAACGGGCGCACGACCTTGGAGTTCGCCTAGCTTGTGGTGGTGGCACGGGAACCTATCCGCATGGCGACAATGTTCGGGAGCTAGAGTTGATGATCGAGGCCAGTATACCAGTAGTTGATATGTTGGAGCCCTGCACTGTAGGGGGTTGGGAGGTATGTGGAGGAGACTTGTGCGGGCGGCGATTTGGGAGGTTCGCAGAGGGCCTGCAAGCCGATATTGTGGCATTTGATGAGAATCCTGAGAAGAACACAAAGGCTCTCAGGACTACAATATGCAGAGACTAATCGAGGACTATGTGGGCCAAGAGCGCCGCGGGCGGCTGTTCTATCCCTGGCACGGCGTACAAACATTGTTTGAAACCGCCATGATAGCGCTGCACGCATCATGGTCTTCGCGGTAATACCAACCATTCAGGGATCAGGCGGAACACATGATGCAAACGCTGCTTCCTCAGTGTCTGCAAGTCCTATCCAACATCGGGCAACGGTGGGGCGAAGCGACGAGATGTGCTGACAAGCTGAGACCACTTGTCCAAAGGGTTTCATCTGCCTTTACGTGGGCAAATTAACTGTCTGCCCATGAAGCTGTTGCGATAGAGGACGAGATTGAGACTTTGATCTTCTCGGACAAGAATCTGTCATGGAACGCCGTCGCACTAGAGAACAGCGGCCTTGGTTTTGAAGATGGCTCACTGCTTATTGACGACATGCTTGTCGACGACCTCAACGCTCTCCAATGGGCTCCAGACTGGAATCTTGTTTTTGGTGAGATTCTTTAGGTAGAGGTCTCGCATGTCAGGAAAGGAAATTATATGGAAGCTGCTCTTGGCCGACAAGTTTGTATGTACTTGGCCAAACTTGGTCTTTGAACTATCTGTATTATAATCCGCGTCGTCGTCGTCCCTGTCGTTCCTTCGTCTTATATTAATACTATCCGACTGGGTAGTTCAAGGCATCCGCCGAAACATCAGAGTCCCATCATTCAGTTTCCAACCATCCGAGGTGTCAAATTATTTTGCAGAGTCGAGTACTAACGATACGCAACGCCTGTATGATCGCTTTCAGACTTCAAATCTCATTGTATACGACTCTACTTTTCGTTGCACTGCACTCTTCCGTCGCTATTTACCTGAAGATCCGAGCAGCCAAAACATGTGCTGTCTCCCGCTCCCGCCTCGCGACAGCGGTTGTAGAAGTCGTCTCCATCAATCCTCCACCTCTTGATCATATTTTGTAGCTAATGATGCTGTTAGACCCTTTGAAATCAGGGGTTGAAGAGCTGAGCTTACATATCGCCCCTCAAATCGAGGTCCTGGGCTGTGGGCGTTCCAGGTTGTCTGCGAATCAGCCAAATGCTCAGATGGACCTTATCATGTTGTCAGTTCGTCAAGTTGAAGTAAAAGGTTCGCAGAAAGGCCTACCCCAAACGTAGCCAAAGCACGCTCTCGCAGCGACCTTGGCTGTCGCTACGTGGTCAACTGGACCATTGGACCACTGCTGGCAGGCACAGTAGTCATGTGAGTCTGCCAGAACACCAGAGCTACTCGGTGTTAGCGAAGTCACAGAATTGCAATGCGGGGAGCGTACAGAAGCGTTATCAACGCGGCAAAAAATTGTAAACGCATGTTGAAACGAACGTGAGCAGCTGTTGCAGCTTGAAGCGAAAGTAATTAGTCGAACAAGATCGGAGCAAGTATGATTCATCGAGCATGACCCTGTGGTATGAATGCGGTTATCTTGACTTATATCTTCGGGCCATGCGAACTGCACGATTGTAGATGCAGCGGTGATCCCGGCAACGCCGATAGGTCAAGTCCGAGTGCATGAACGATTAACATTTGACTGTACCCAGAATAGCAAACCTTATTAGATACCTCCACGAGAACACTGCCCCCCTGTTCTTGTCATCATTTATCTTTAATGTTGTTTCTCATCACGTTACACTTCTCATTATCATTGACCAAACTTTTAATTTGTCAAGTCATAAGGCTGTCCGGATTCCGCGGGGTATCAGTCCGACGATCAGCGGGCGAATAAAGTTTTCGCGTTCGTTCCCGTTAAGAAAAAGAAATCTCCTGAATTCATTAATCGTGCGCACGTGCGCAATTTCCCGTCTTTACGACAACAGTCTTATTGCGCGTTGATACATGTACATATATCGCGGGAGGTTCGCCTCTGGTCATTTGCTAAGCGGGTTGTCGGTTGATGCTTCTCTCCACGGTCTTTTCTGTTTCACCTGTCTAGTTGACTTCACCAACATGAAAGTTTTCAATTTCTTCCTCATCCCGATCTTCTGCGTTGCGCTTGCTGCGCCCGCACCCTCGCAGAACCAGTGCATCGCAAATACGCCAAACGTGCTGCAGTACTCCGCGCCCGATGGATCGTATGTAGTATCCTTGGTCATTGCCCCAAATCCACTGCCTTGCTAACGAAACCCTCGACAGTACTGTCCAAGAAAAGGGCTGCGGCCTCGCTATTCCACGAGACACTCCCGAGGCTACTGCAGCGATCGCGAAGCGTGGCTGGTTCGACACACTCCAGGTGGTGTGGATCATCACGCTTTCAGACTCGAGAGACCTCATCATCCGAACACTTCTCAGCATGTTCAACACCGACATCAAACTGTTCACGGAAGTGGAGGGCATGGGCGTCACCATCGACGACGTTTCTCAGCAAGCTAGCCAAGTCTCGTTCAAGTTGAATGCGAGAGGAACATGGGGCAACGCCTCTGCAAGCTTTGTCTACAACTATGTCAACGGCGGTATCACCACTTTCGTGCCAGGGGGTGCTCAGGATGCCAATGGGAATAATCTGACGGTCAACACTAATTACTGTCACGCTAGGCAGTAGGTTCTGCAACTTGACTCTCTAGCGTAGCACGGGTGCATGTATGCAGCCTTTTGGAGTTTTAGACGGCCTTTATCTCAATTTAATTCAAGTCAGATCTCTTCAGACTCAGCCATGGCTATGGTCAAATCATTTCCACAAACATCAACAAAAGGCCAACTTTCCCGTCATTGACATGGCATGAGTCAAGTAGCCTGCCGGGGCATTGTCTTGTCAAAACTTCCAGAAATTGGACTGCAACCTCCAGCAACTACATCGACAAAGCTACTGTGATTTGATTTTGCAGTACGCAATTGATTACGCACGAGAAAGCCTGATGTAAAGATCAGGTCCACAACAAATGCCTAACATGACTGCCAACAACGAACCACCACCCTTCACCTGACTTGTGTCTTAGCACCAGGCGCGATCGACTTGGGTTAATTGAAGTCCGCAGCACTAAATCAACAGATGCCTCCAGACTATCTACATTGCCTAGGCAAGCAGTGCCGAGAAACTCAACCGTGATAAGCCCACCTTCGTGCCGCATGCCGAGCTCACGAGTCACGCCACGATTCAGTCAATGCAACCTCGGCTACACGCGAGATAGAAGTACGGCCTACAACATATAATGACGTACGAGCCAAGACGATCCAAGCGGACGACTAGTCAATCATCCACCTTCCTTATCTGAAGGTTCCTGTAGCTCGTCTTCGTCTAACGTCCAAGTCTCCGATCTACAGACCGGGCATACACAACTTGTTGGCTTCTAAGCAGGATACAGGCGGTTCTCATGACTGTATGTGTATGTTCGCGTGTGTGCTCTTACATGATGGAGTTGCCGACAATGAGAGTCTCGTGATGCAGGCCCGAGTATTGGCCGTCTAATTTCCTTTTTGCCGCTCTAGATATGGGCTTAGCAACTACATCTCACTCGTAATCGCAAAACTACGCGTCGCACATTTCATTCGGACTTCAAATACTCATACCAGGTTCGCCGCTTCTAAGTAGTCGCCGGCTGATTCTCCAACACCCATCTCACCCCATCAACAACAACATCCGGCTGTGTCATCTGCACAAAATGCCCACTCTCCCTCGCAAACACAATCTCGCTCCTCCGCGACACCTTCAAAAACTCCCTCATCAGCCCCTCGCACTTCTCATCCACCGTCTCAATCAACCCCCTCACATACCTCCTCTCCTCCTCCGTCCCGTTCCCCCTCGCCACTCCAGCAGCATACAACCCGCTCCAGTCCCGGCTCCGCGTGCCCGTAACCACATACACCGGCCGGTCCCCAAGAAGCGGCTGTTTCCCCGCCAGCTCTTTCCTCCGTAGCGCCTCAAAACTCAGCGCGTACTCCGAATCCTCCCGCTGAGCAATCAGCTTGTGCTTCTCCGTCGCCTCCGCCGCGCGGAAGGCGTCCCACTCCTCCGGCGTCAGCTTATGCGTCGCCTCCAACCCCCAGGCAGCGTACACATCCACACCCGCGGCGACCTTCCAGAGGACGGGGTCGTTGACGTCCAGCACCAGCGGCGCCGTCTCGTGGTTTGCGTCCACGAGCACCAGCCCCGCGACCTGGCTCGCCCCCTTGAGAGCGAAGTACTCGTGCGTGAGCACGCCCGCCCAGGAGTGTCCCACAAGGATGAGCGGGTTCGGGATGGGCGCGCGCTCAATTAGCAGGGCGAGCTCGAGCGCGATGTTCTCGGCTGTGGGGGGGAGAGGGGAGGGGTCTGAGTTGTGGTGGCCGGAGCGGTCGTACGTGTAGCTCCGCAGCGAGGGGGGTAGGAGGCGGACTACGGCTTGCCAGTTGAGGGCGTCGCTGGCTACGCCGGAAACGAAGAGCACGACGGGGGAGGTGGGTGTGCTGGGTTCGGGGCCGTGGGCGTAGAGGGCGAGGGAGTGGGTGCCGATGTTGACGAGGCGGGTGTTTGGAGGGAGGGGGGAGGTCATTGTATTAGATGTTCTTGTGTCCTTGGCGAGGGGTTTCAGATACTCAAGAGAGGTAGGTCAATCAAGTCACCTAGCTTTAAAATCTACAAGGTGATGAAGTTCCAACGTCAAGATATTCCGATGAAGTTGCTTTATAAACCACCGCTTGGCGCCCTTCTGAGTACATCTTTAGCGGTGCTGTGCCACATGCATGGTCCACGACCCCTGTCCCGGCTTACATTCGTGATTTCGTGCTTACTTTGCGTCGCCTTGTCGGCCTTCAGATCACGTGAGCGAAGATTCCTAGCATCTTGTCTTGATCACGATATTCCCGAATACAGTGGAGATCTCGGTTTGTCATCTTCCGTCTTGTGGCTCGTGGCCTTTCAAATTTGAACAGCTTTGCTTAAATGGTGAAAGCATACCTTGTCGTGACAGAACAGTCGATATCTCCAGCTTCAGAGATTGGTTTACCTTTTACGGTGTTCCTCATGTATGGGAGATGACATTGTCCAACTATCACTCCAAAGCATCCGGTGGTAGCCAAGGAAGGGATCTAGACTCTAGAGTTATATAGGCGTCCAAATTAAGGGCTGATGGTGCCTTTACTTGCGAGAACGAAATATCGATTTTTCACACGCATTTGTGTACATGTGCAATCATGTCCCCTGGGGGAAAGCCCAAGCATAGTTTCTCATGACCCATAGTCGCGCAGACGTTTCTGAGTTGGGAGGACGGGTTACAAGAGTCGCTTCCTAGGCTGGCATCAATATCATCCAAACCAACCTTCTTTTTTCCCTTTAAGGTACTCTTACCTTGATAAAGTAAGAATTTTGTTTAACGCCCCCTTTGTCACTTGCACGCGAAGGCCTCCCAGCTCGCGCGTCCCCACTCCAACCCGCCGCCAATGTGAACTTCACCTCACCAGCGTATTCAACCCTCATCCCTCAACCCCCTTAACCCCCATTCCCTCCCTCCGTCCTCAACAGCGGAGGGAGGAGTCAATGGCTCAGTTGATCAGGT